GTGAGCGCTGTGAATTGTGTAAGACTGTTGAATCACAAACCTATACCTCTGAAACAAATAATACATTATATGTTAAAAAAAAAAAAAGAAGATAGTAGGAAGGGAAAAATGAAGGGGGGGAAATCGGAGGGAGAGACAAACCATAAGAAACTATGGGTTCTGGGAAACAAACTGAGGGTTTTAGAGGGGAGGGGGGTGGGGTGGATGGATTAGCCTGGTGATGGGTATTAAGGGTATTAAGGAGGACACATACTGAATGGAGCACTGAGTGTTATACGCAAACAATGAATCATGGAACACTACATCAAGAACTAATGATATAATGAATGGTGACTAACATAACATAATAAAATAAAATTTAAAAAAAATCACACACACACAAAAAAAGATGTGGTTTGTATCTACAATGGAATATTACTCAGCTATAAAAAAGAATGAAATCTTGCCATTTGCAATGACATGGATGGAGCTGGAGTATAATGTTAAGTGAAATACGTCAGAGAAAGACAAATACCATATGATTTCATTCATATGTGGAGTTTAAGAAACAAAACAAACGAGCAAAGGGAAAAGAAAGGAAGAGAGAGAGAGAGAAATCAAGAAACAGACTCTCAGCTATAGAGAACACACAGATAGTTCAGGGCGGTGGGGGGGGATAGGTGAAACAGGTAATGGGGATTAAGGAGTGCACCTGTCATAATATTCACCAGATGATGTACGGAAGTGTTGAATCACTATATTGTACAACTAAAACTAATACCACACTGTATGTTAACTTAAAAAAAAAAAATGAAGAAGAAAAAGAAAAAAGACAAAAAGCCTAGCAAGAATGAATCATGCGCTCAGGTTTAAGAACCTTCTCATCCTCCACTGAGCCCTTTCGATTCCAGGCAAGTGCAAGTTTAACAAATATAACATATCCCCAAGTAAGACTTTTGGCTTGCTAGGGTTTTTGCCTTGGTAGATAATTTTCTGATTTATAATTAGCCACAGGTTTCTATAACCTGAATCAAGAATGCTTTGCACATGATAGGCCTGCAAAAAAAATTAAAAAGGTCTGCTTAATTTAATAAGTGAATTCACTAACTTCTCAGGTGGCCAAGAGGCTTCATTATAAAAGACTAATTGTAAGGAATGTTTGGAAATCTGAATTTTAAATAAGGAGCATTTGTCTGAAATCTAAGTATTAAAAATATCAGATGTAAAACAAGTTTGAAAATTATTGAAACCAGGTGACAGAGACATGAGGATTCATTGTACTAATTTCTCTACTTTCATAAATGTTTGGAAAAGTCCATAATCAAAAAGTCAAAAAAATTAGAATATAAACAAATATAGAAAAGGTCTCAGAATTCCTTCTGCCTTAAGTGACCATGAGATGAGCTAAGATATAAGCGTAGCAGGTCTAAAACCTGCATAGAACCAGAATGAATATAAATGAAGGGGACCAAAAGCAAAACATAAAACAGGATTTTCTTTATTGGGACCAGGCAAAGCCAGCCTTCGTCAAAGCATAAACTGGAAAGTTAGTGCATGAGGTTGAGAAAGGCAGGGCAGCCTGGAACTATGCCTGACAGTCTGTATATCTGTGGGCTGTGGGCAGTACACACTGTGGGGTCCATTCCTCTCTGGCTAATTCTATGCCACTGAGACAGGGAGAGAGGCATAGGAATTAAAATCCTCTGCCCAAGGTTCTCCAACACTGCCAATGCATTTGTCATGACCTGCACCATCACCTTGCAATGTTAGCAGCTCATCCCTGAAGTATGCATGACACCAATTAGCTTAATATTAGACTATTCTATTTTTTTAAGATTTTATTTATTTACTTGACAGAAAAAGACAGAGAGAGAGAGAGAGGCAGAGGGAGAGGGAGAAGCAGACTCCCTGCTAAGCAGGGAGCCCAACTCAGGGCTCGATCCCAGGACCCCAGGATCATGAACTGAGCCGAAGGCAGACACTTAACCGAAGGCCAACACTTAACCGACAGAGCCACCGAGGCGCCCCTAGACTATTCTATTTAAAAAAAAAAAAAAGATGACAAATAAGAAGAAGGTGGGGAGAAAAAGAGGAGGAGGAGGAAAGTGATCTCTTTTAAGGATATATGTATAAGCAGAAAACTAACAACAATTTATAAAATCTTAATAAAACTTTTACAAGGAAGTATAGGAGCCATAGGTTAATGCTGCTTTAACCTACATTATAAGGAAAAAATCACAGCTCTGAGTCCACTTCCCCCCCAAAATCTCAGAGATGTCTGTCTTCTACTTTTGTGGCAATAGCAAATACAATGTGGGGAGAAGGGAGAACATATTACTAAAACTTTGTCTACTTATTCAAAATGACTGAACTTTTCCCTACACAGCATGGAAAGAATTTCACTGTGAGATATATGAAATTAAAATTTAAAAAAAAAATAAGAGAAATAAGAGAGTAATTCACATGTTACATTGAGCAATAGAAAGCATTTTTAAATATTTCCCATAAATACTAGTAGCACCAGTAATTACCACTTGAACAATTTCTAAAACAGACACAACTGTCACGAAAAGCCACAGACTTAACACTAGGAATGAAGGTACAGTCAACACAAGGCGTATTTTTATCTTTCAGGAGGTATTATTCCGTAGAGCATCTAACATCAAAAGCACCTGAGTGTATTGTACAAACGATACTCCTAAAGGCTATGATTTTCAGAAGGATGTGAAATAAACACATGAGACACTTCTCATATGTATTATAAGTAAACACTGTATTTTGAAATCAGTTTTAAACTGCAGACAAACCAGAATGTAATGCTAAGGTGATATTACCAGAAAATCATAAAAACATACTCTGAAGTATAAAAATACATTTGAGAAAAACAAGAATAGCAATCACACAAATCACTTTAGAATTCTTAGAAAATGGGTAGATGACAAAACACACTTTAAAAATATTCACGGGATAAATATGTTAGTAGATGTGCACTTATGAATTGTAACATCAGTGGCAAAATCACCATCAAATGTAAAATTTTACTTGTTATTAAAATATGGTCAATATTTAAGCAAACCAAAATATGTAATATGGAAAAGCAAGGACAGCAAACACAGAGCAGTAGTGGGGATGTTATCTGTTCCTTTTTCCTTATCACACGGCAGATAGCAAGGATCAGCCAGTTTATGCTTTCTCCCTGGGCCCAAACAAACCATCAGAATCATTTCCAAACAGAGCATGTCAGGTAGCAACTACCAAGAAACCACACACAAAAATATGAAATTAAACTTATTTTCTATACCTAACACAGGATTTTAGTGACTTGAAACATTTAAACAGATTTTTAGACAACTATTTTTAAATCAGAAATGGTTATATTTTCATATTATTTAAATTCACATAATCAAGAAATGGATTCCAATATATTTTTCACTTCAAAGACCAAAATCCATCACTGAAACAACATCACAAACTTGAATGCAATGATAACCTTAAAAATCCATTAGCAAGAAACAAGGGAATAGGCTGTTTTCTCTGGAGAAAAGCAAGCATACTCTTGAGAGTATGAGAGAGCACTTTGCATGCTGACAATGAACATACGCAGGCCAGGAATAAGAGTACTGATAAAACAGAAAAAGTAATAATACCCTTTTCAATATAAGCAATACATTCTCTCATTCTCTACTCAATAAGGTAGGGGAGTGATTTAAGGCATGAAAGCTCCTAAATTTTCATGGATCAACAACAAAATAAGAAGTAAAGAGTTGATTTACGGCATTAACAAAGATATCAAATAACACTTACTTTTGCGAAAGCTTCAAAAATGTCAAAGGAAGGTGGCAGCTGAGAAGCATCCTGGATTTCTTCTCTCATGAAATGTTGAAATGTCATTACCAGCTGCCTGAGGCCCTCTTTCTTATCTTCAGTGATTTTGTTAATATCTTTTTTAAAGAGAGAATAAATAGCACAATCACACAGTGAATTTTTAATGGACAATTTTCAGGTGTTCAATGCTAGCTGTTAAACCAGATTTATCCTCTCTAGATTTCATTCTGACAGAGAGCAAATACGTTCCTTTTTATTTTTTCGCAACTACATATTACAATACATACATTATCAATTAAATTGCACCAAACTTCATCTACAATATAAGATCAAATACCTATCAAAACAAAATAAATAACATGTACAGATGAAAAACACTACAACCCAAATCAGGAAAGATGTGTGTTACAGGTCCCCCACATCACCCTGGACATCACAAGTGCGTCAAGTCAAGTGAATTTAAGCAGATCTTCCCATGAAACAATTTTCAACCAGGTCATGACCAACTGATAAACAGTATATCTCAAAGGAAAAAACAAAACCAAAAACAAAAGGAAAACCAAAAGTAAAAAGTTCAGTGAGAGTCCAACTAGTGAAATGGGTCACATAAAAAGTCCATTGAGAAGAAAACGGGAAGCAACCCAAGAAATCTTGACTTCAAATTATTCCACACTGGGCGCCTAGGTGGCTCAGTTGGTTAAGCGACTGCCTTCGGCTCAGGTCATGATCCTGGAGTCCCGGGATCGAGTCCCACATCGGGCTCCCTGCTCAGCAGGGAGTCTGCTTCTCCCTCTGACCCTACCCCCTCTCATGCTCTCTATCTCTCATTCTCTCTCTCTCGAATAAATAAATAAAAATCTTAAAAAAAAAAAAAATTATTCCACACTGAATAAACAAGATGCGGTGCTGCTAAAACCCAAACAGAAGGAGAAGGTTCCAGAGCATAGTTGTCAAAAAATCACTCCATTGAAAACTCAATTTAATTTTTACCACAAAAAGGTGTTAAGGCTAAGAGTGTACAATTAATAATGTTTTAGAACACTTCACTTAAGACAGCATGGATGAGGGCGCCTGGGTGGCTCAGTCGTTAAGCGTCTGCCTTCGGCTCAGGTCATGATCCTAGGGTCCTGGGATCGAGCCCCGCATCGGGCTCCCTGCTCCATGGGAAGCCTGCTTCTCCCTCTCCCACTCCCCCTGCCTGTATTCCCTCTCTTCCTCTCTCTCTCGCTGTCAAGTAAATAAATAAAATCTTTAAAAAAAAAAAAAAAAGACGGCATGGATGACACCACTACTGAGTAGGGCTACTGTTAATAGTAAGACTCACAGCAAGAGACATTAATTACTTAGCAGTAATATAACATGAAAAATTACTAATTAGTTCTCTATTAAAACTGAAAAGATATATCAAGTTGAACTACAGCATAATTCTGGGGCTCATGTCAGCTCTACATATTCTTTTTAAATTACTTGTTCAACAGAGAACAATTAACCCAATGATTTCTTAAATAATAATTTATTATCATTGGCACTTAGGATCCCATAACCATAAATCTGTACTAGATCATTTTCGTATTTGTCTTCACCCAGAAATATTAAACTGTGTAGCAAATTTACTCTATGAGCTCTGGCTACTTTGGGGTTGAAGTCATGGACAACTTCACTGAAGAGGATCTGTCCCAGTATGAAAGGAACATAAACCCTACATTGACTGAACACTCAGACCGGAGGGCCTGTCAGTATTCCTAAATATCCTGGCCACTACCACAGGAGTGGAAAAGAACAATGCGCAATGCTGTCAGACAGCCCAAATCACCTATACCATCTACTTTACTTCTAATCTAAAGGACCATGGGGTGCCTGGGTGGCTCAGTGTCTGCCTTCAGCTCAGGTCATGATCCCAGGATCCTGGGATCAAGCCCTGTGACAGGCTCCCTGCTCAGTGAGAAACCTGCTTCTCCCTCTCCCAGTCCCCCTGCTTGTGTTCCCTCTCTCGCTGTGTCTCTCTCTGTCATATAAATAAATAAAATCTTTAAAAAAATTAAAATAAATAAATAAAAATAATAAAGGACCAGTGACCCCAAATGTTCCCTAGAACCCCCTTGTTCACATCACTGTTCCCTGGCATCAAAAAGAAACAAAGATCAGGTTCTAGTACTTTACAAACTCCTAAAAGGCCAAGACTACCCTGGAACAAATTAAATAAGCTAATGTGTCAAGCATATATAAAAACATGAAAAGGTTTGTTAGATTTGCCTCACAAAATAAGGAGACAGAAAAACAATGTTAAAAAGAAAGCGATGCATGAGGTCAGCAAATAAATGACAGGATTTTTTTGGTGCTGAGAGACACTTACTTGACTCCAGATCATAAAATGAGTAAAGTTTCTCCGATTCAGACGGTGTTTCTTCCATCTATGAGGCAAAGGGGGAAAACACCAAAAACAACTTCAAGTGCTCCAATATATCAATGAATAAATTTGAATCTCTTTAGATATTGAAATGAAACTCTATTTAAAGAGACAATGTTAATATTCCTCCTCTTCATCACTTTCTGAGAGTTGAATTATTCAATCAGTAACAATTTTAAAATCTAAGTTATGACTTACCCCTCAATTTGATTTCCAATTGGAAAATTCTTTTATAAGAAGTTCTCATACTTTTATTTCTTTTCCCCAGCTCTACCCACAGACTTGTATTACTGTAAGGATTTTACTATCATTATAGAAAAGCAGAGATGGATGAATAAAAATAAGAGTTTATTACAAACTGCAACCTTCACCAAATTACCTTACCTTAAGTCAAAAGTCATCAATGTCCTTATCTAAAACATAGAAGAATCATAGATTCCCTGGGTTGCTGTGGGAATGAAATGAGGTCTATCCTGTAAAGCAATTAGCACGGGGCCTAGAAATCCTAAGTGCTCAATAGACCGTATCTATTATTATTATTATTATCAGTGCTTTCTATTAGATTCTAATCCAGTAGGTCCTGGTTCTCTATCATTCTGATATTAATAAAGTAAAAAAAAAGTTCAGCCTCAAATATAATGATCATACTTTTAATATCTAGCAACTAAAGAAATACATAATAACAAAGTTGATCTGAATTTATTAATGCTTTGAAATAAATTTGTATTTTTTAGTTCAACACAATATATATATTTGCAAATTAGTACCTAAATATATGATAGGTGTTATATACTCAGTCCAAAGACAATGCCCATTTGGTATTCTACATCCAGATTTCTTAGATGTGAGATATAATTGATATATAACACTGTGTTAGTTTTAGGTGTAAAAACATAATTTTACATGATTAAAACTCTCTATAAAATTTTATAGCCTTCCCCTACCCCAAAAAATTCAATAAACAACAGGACAGAAGAGCTGGAACCTGAAATAATTTGAGAAAGAGACATTCACATGAAAGCTTTTGGCAAAAGGGAGTCTGGAGGGTATCGCCAGAGGTTTATTCCACAGAACCCAGTGGTGGTTTAGGCAGAGTAGGGGAAAAGACTGAAGAAGCAATTTCAGTGAAACTTGTTTATATATAAAAAAAAAAAAGCACTCTTCCATGTAAGAGTAATTATCATCATGTGATTAATAGGGAAATGACAAGTTTTTGTCTTAAGATACTCCCTGATATAATCTACCTTCTACCTTCACATGGGTTTAAAGTTGGCCTTAAATAATAATATGGGGCACCTGGGTGGCTCAGTTAGTTAAGCATCCTACTCTAGCCTTCCACTCAGGTGGTGATCTCAGGGTCATGAGATCGAGTCCTGCCTCGGGCTCTGCACTTAGCAGGGAGTCTGCTTGAGATTCTCTCTCCCTCTGATCCTCCCCCCACTCACATCCTTTCTGTCTCTAAATAAATAAATAAAATCTTTAAAAAAATATATGAATAATACATACAACTGCAAGTGCTTTGGTTAATTAAAACCCAAGCTTATTCCATGAGTTTTATACTCACAAGTTTGAAAACAACTCTGCCAAGCAGTCGAACAGAATCCGGGGGATACCTGGGTTTGCAGCTTTTAAGGCATTTGCATTCCCGCTTGTGGTCTGGCCAAGCTTTTTTCTGTTAAGACAAGAGTGGGGAGGGCATATGTTGTAACTTTCATTTACACTGGTTTTGAACGTGGAGAGTCGTCAACATTAATTTGATGTTAACAGCCTAAATATAACTGCAAAATAGAAAACGAAAGCAAAGGGCGCCTGGGTGGCTCAGTCGTTAAGCATCTGCCTTCGGCTCAGGTCATGATCCCAGGATCCTGGGATCGAGCCCGCACCGGGCTCCCCGCTCCACGGGAAGCCTGCTTCTCCCTCTCCCACTCCCCCTGCTTCTGTTCCCTCTCTCGCTGTGTCTCTCTCTGTCAAATAAATAAATAAAATCTT